TAGGGCACAGGTTTTCAAGCCCTGGGACAAAATGGGATGCTTTAAGGAAAATGTATACTCTATGTAAGTAATAGGCCTAAAATAAAAATAATTTGTTTTCATAAAAAAAAAAAAAAGCGAAATATATCTAATGGAAAAGATGACAACGCGCATTCTGTTTGTTTGCTTTATTTTGGTTGCACTACAGCTGTCTTCTAGCCATGTTTCGTTTAGAAACATAAAATCCAGGTTGTTTGTGGTTAAGTCATTGATTAGAAATTATTTATTTTTTTAGTGAGCGAATGTTTAAAAATGCTAACTTGATGGCATTGCATTTTGTCTCAACTGCAATATTAGTTTGATGCATAACAGGCCGCAGATTAGATGAGTTAGCCGTACGGCGTGAGAAGGCCTTAGACTTTCTATCACGTGATAAAACAGAAATAGAGAAAACTACAGGCACACTGGGTTCCCGCTTGTGTTTCATTAAAAATATGGGGCGGGGTTTAAGCGGACTAAATGAATGGAGAAGTCTGGCATACATAAAAGAAAAATATGTTGTTTTACCGGAAGATCGAGTTATGACATTCTGATTAAACATTCTGTGGTCAAAAACAAAAAGCAAAAAATGAAACCTAGATTGTATTGTAAATGACTCATCCTTGTATATAACATGTATTTAGAAAACAGATGGTGATTAGGTGAATTTTCATTTCATGTTGATTTATCATTTTCATCATGCTAAGAAAAGATTGGTTTGAAATGACACATGTACTGTAACATTATCTTTGAAACTCTTGATGGCACATCCTACAGTTCCTAGTTGCATATGCAACATGCATACAAATATGCAAAATATCATTTTACAAATCAAGGGTACCTTGAGCTGCTGAAGGTTAGTGGCAGTCTTCCAATCCTTGTCGTCTCGCATTCGAGTGCATCGTGGGAAGCGGATGGATATGCCATCTGCAGTGTGCATTTCTGATTTGGAAAACTCTGCTCCTGTTATTTCCCAAACTGGTGCTTTCTGCAAGCATTGACAAATGGGATTTATTATTCCTTACAGTCCAATACACAACACAAACTACTAGAGTTTCAATTCAGTACAAACATCTTAAACATTTGAGTGTTGTACGGTCTATTAAACGCATTCATCTGAGTTAAAGAGATAAGCCAATAAAGTTCCTTCATTGCCATCACATACTCAACAGTAACCAGGCTTTTAACAGAGTCTCATCAAGCTCATTTCACATTACAAGCACATAAACATCAAGCATCCCTTCGGTCGTATTAGGAAGTGTCTTACTTCTGGATCTCGGATAATGAAATCTGGGTAATAGTTCTTGACGATCTTCAACCATCCTGGGATCTTGCTTGGATCCTGTGATAGCGAGATGGATAGGAAACTATTGTTATGTATCTTTTATAAATCTGATGGGGCAATGGAGGCACTACTGATTAAATCAGAAGATTTACCTTGCCAATTTTGATAACGTCCAACTCCTTCTGCAGTCTGGCTAACGTGGCGTCGTCATAGCCTCCTGAACACTTGGTCACAGTGCACCACTTCTTGGATTCTGGGTCATAGCATCCCATGAGGAAACTGGACATAATTCCACCTGGCACACAGAAAAACGTAATGTTTCAAAACTGTTACACTCTGAAGTTTAGTTATTGTTTAAAGCCATTTGAATTGGACTGCTGATACTGACCATTTGAGCCTTTGCCATAGAAAGCTCCAAGCACCACAAGGTCAGCGGTGTCCGCCATTGCTCCTTCATTCAGATAGTCCTTC